TTTGTTAGTCTCTATGGGTATGTCTAGATTGCATCCCTCTGTTGGCAGAGGGATGCAAATTAGGCAGGTTGACATTGCAAATGAGGCAGGGATTTAAATATCCCGCACCTAATTTGCATAAAAATGGCCACCACGTTTTGGTAAAAAGACTTCATCTACTAATCTCCTAAATTTGAAACCTACAAGACAACACCTCTGTTTTTGTTAGTCTCTATGGGTATGTCTAGATTGCATCCCTCTGTTGGCAGAGGGATGCAAATTAGGCAGGTTGACATTGCAAATGAGGCAGGGATTTAAATATCCCGCACCTAATTTGCATAAAAATGGCCACCACGTTTTGGTAAAAAGACTTCATCTACTAATCTCCTAAATTTGAAACCTACAAGACAACACCTCTGTTTGACATGCTGCAGTGCTTAAATAAGTATTTCTGTTCTTGTCATGTTAAGGAATATTGTTTTGGAACACAGGAAGACTGGTTCTGCTCTTACAATAACCAGCTAGATGCTGTCTAATCCCATTGATTTTAGTGGAATTACGCTTAATGTAAACTGGTATTCAAGAGAGAAAGTTTTTTCCTATGTAGTTGTAACTATTTTTTTTACTCAGTAATTGGCAGAGTCATAAATTAGAACTTTAGAAAGAAATTGTATTTGCAAAATAAAGACTTCGTGTTACACCTCAGATGTTTAAGTTCCCTGTGTAAAAATTTGAGCTGTTTTTTTAACTAATTTTTTCAGCCAAAAAAGGGGAGGGGATTTAAACACAGTTGCCACTGATATCTTGAGGCTACATGATCTGTCATCCAAGGAAAGATATGGCCTAACTCACCATGGTTACTGGAATTTTTATGATTACATTATAATAAAAATAAACAGTAATAATGATGGTATGGCACTCACCTTCAGGTCCACAAATGTCTGGATTATTAATGCAAGAATTTTGGTAGGTTCCAAAGAATAGAAAGGTAACTCCTTTTTCTCCAGTGTAGTAAATTCCTTTATTGACCATTCCTTCTACAATATCTAAGGAAAGAAAATTAAAATATAATCCTTTAACATTCTCATGTGCTGACAGTTTCTTGGGACATGACTCAAATGACTGAAGCATTTTTAATATGTTTATCTTTCTGTCTCCCCTTTTTAGAATAAAATAAATGAAAGACACATCATACAGTCTTACCATAAATTATAATCTATGGAAATTATATTTATCTATCCTTCCTAATCCCCTGTTCAAACAAATCATCTGTATAGCAGAACCAGCAGGGCCAGAAATTACTACCCAGAAATTACTTAACTGGGACATTGTGGTCCGGCAACATCTTTGATCCAGCAGGACCATGGATGTTCCTGGACCACCGAGCTCAGGTATAGAGAAGTTGGGCTGTGGGGCAGGAATGGCAGGGGAGGACGACGACTCAGCTGGGAGCCCCATGTTGTGGGGGAAAGCGGAGGAGCAGCAGAGTTTTCCTGCCCCTGAGTGTCCCCAGACACAGAGCTGGGGGGCTGTCAGCAGCAGCCACAAAGCTCTGGCCCCAGCTGCAGAGCTCAGGGGCTAGCAGCAGCAGCTGCAGAACTCCAACTCCAGCCATGGAGACAGGGGGCAGCAGCGGTATCCACAGAGCTCCAGCCCTGGTGGCAGCCATGGAGCTTCAGCCTGGGGAGCCATAGACAGACAGAATAGGCTGGGCTGGTGCCATAGCCAGGGGCATCTGGGCAGCATAAGCCATGTTGGGAAGGACTTTCCCTGGTCTGCCAAATCCACTTGTTTGGGACTGGTAAGGTCTGAGGATGCCAGACAAAGGAGGTACAACCTGAACTTGAAAATAACCGGAGTGAAGTTTACATATTCTAGAGTTCTGATTACAGGTAGCACTTGATAGACATTTCCGGCTTATTGTTCAGATATAGAGTTAGTCAGGGAATTCGCCAAACCCCGGGAAATTTTTTGAGCCAAAAAAAATTTTTTTTTCTCTCAAACATTTCTATTTTAGAAAATGACTTTTTGATCATTTTTCATCAAAAAGAACATTTTAAAGAAAGATACTAGAAGTATTTTAGGCAGAAGGCAGAAATGCACATATGTTCCAGGGTGTTTCAAAAGAACATGACTGTTCTTATTTAACATGTGTAACTACTTGTGATTTTTAGGCCCTGTCTTCTTCATTGCTTAAAAAAAACCCTCACACCTGTGGGATTTTTATCTCAGATGGAATGAAGGTGAACTATCCAAAAGTACAACTCAGTAAAGACAAAGTGTTTTAGGTTTGCCATAAGGTAAGTTTGCTGCAGATGTTTCCAGGCCTAGATATTGGTGTGACAGGGTGGGCCTCAGCACCAAGAACACCACCTGCTGGTAGTTCAGGGAATTAGCCTTTTGTTGCTGGAGTGCCCTCTTCTGGCTGGTGTCTAACCCGCTGTTGCTGTTATTCTCCACTACTCTAGGTCACAGCCCACATCTCTCCCAGACAATGGCATACTACTACTTGGGTACTGCCCTACCGTATTGCCCTTATACTCTCAAATCCTCCCCCTCTGTGGGCCCTCAATCCCCCTATGCCCACCTTGCCTTAGTGACCCACTGCCAGTCTTCATCTAGTCACAGGGGCAAACTGCAGTCTGAAATGGCCACTTATCATTGGCAAAAGGGAATGGACCTGCTGCTTTTGCCTATCCTGCCTGCCTGCCCACAGCACTAGTACCCTGAGGATTTGATTCAGACCCTGCAGCTTGAGAGTTTTCTTGGCCAGAGCTTCCTCAGCCCTTACTGACTTTCCCCAGCCCTGCTCTAAATCAGGAAACTTCTCACTTCCATAGCAACTAGGTCCCCAGCCAGAGCAAACCTGTCTTTGCCTTCCTCCCTCCTGGAGCCCTTATTTATATAGCCTACAGCTGGTCCCTAATTGGCAGCTATCTACTGCAGCTGTTTGATCCCTGGCTCCAGCCCTCACCCAGGGCTGTGTTTTAATCTCTTAAAGGGCCAGTGCAGGGCAGACATGCTGTCGCAAATGGGCAGATCATGGAACTGAAGTGCTTTGTCTTCACTGTGTTTTTATCTCATGATACTCATGCATGTTAGTTACCCAGAGATAAAACAGTCAGGTTTTTTAACACTGAAGACAAGTTCCCAGTAACACTTCAATCTGCAGGACACAAACTACCACACAATTTTTCTTTAATTACAGGTTAGGCAGGTAGAATTCAAGTGCCTCATTTGGAATTTGTCCTGGGCATTACTGTTAAAAATACCATTTTTGCAAACTGTGCCATGGATTTCTAATGACAGTGAGAATTCAGAATTTTATGTCTTCTCAAAACACTGCCTTCTGTAAAAGGCACTTTCAAGATAAGAGTTGTCCATTGGACAGGCACTGGCAAGAATAATAGGGAAGTCTTATCCTGGACTGTGGTTGGTATCTGCAATCACCTGGCTGTAATAACAGAGATAAGGTAAGATTGTATATGGTCCTAGCATAGATGCATGGTAATGGACCAGAGTACAAACAGAATTTTTTATATGTGTCCTCTGAGCTTGCATTCAATTCAGCAACACTCCATGGGCCAGGAGAATGCAGAGACTTGACCCTTTGGCATCCCTGAATCACCCCAAAAATGTAGAAGCAAAGCTATAGCCTCATTTACCTCTATACTTCTCCAGAGATGGCCAGTCATACTATAGGAAATTAGCTTTACACCCTATAGATGGTGCAACATACACATCACTCCCCGTTCCTCATATAGAATCATAGAATCATAGAATACTAGGACTGGAAGGGACCTCGAGAAGTCATCGAGTCCAGTCCCCTGCCCTCATGGCAGGACCAAATACTGGCTAGACCATCCCTGATAGACATTTATCTAACCTACTCTTAAATATCTCCAGAGATGAGGATTCCACAACCTCCCTGGGCAATTTATTCCAGTGTTTGACCACCCTGACAGTTAGGAACTTTTCCCTAATGTCCAACCTAAACCTCCCTTGCTGCAGTTTAAGCCCATTGCTTCTTGTTCTGTCCCCAGAGGCCAAGATGAACAAGTTTTCTCCCTTCTCCATATGACACACTTTTAGATACCTGAAAACTGCTATCATGTCCCCCCTCAATCTTCTCTTTTCTAAACTAAACAAACCCAGTTCCTTCAGCCTTCCCTCATAGGTCATGTTCTCTAGACCTTTAATCATTCTCGTTGCTCTTCTCTGGACCCTCTCCAATTTCTCCACATCTTTCTTGAAATGCGGTGCCCAGAACTGGACACAATACTCCAATTGAGGCCTAACCAGCACAGAGTAGAGTGGAAGAATGACTTCTTGTGTCTTGCTCACAACACACCTGTTAATTCATCCCAGAATCATGTTTGCTTTCTTTGCAACAGCATCACACTGCTGACTCATATTCAACTTATTGTCCACTATAACCCCTAGATCCCTTTCTGTCATTCTCCTTCTCAGACAGTCGCTTCCCATTCTGTATGTGTGAAACTGATTGTTCCTTCCTAAGTGGAGCACTTTGCATTTGTCTTTATTAAACTTCATCCTATTTACCTCAGATCATTTCCCCAATTTGTCCAGGTCATTTTGAATTATGACCCTATCCTCCAGATTAGTCACAACCCCTCCCAGCTTGGTATCATCTGCAAACTTGGTATTATCTGCAAGCGTACTTTCTATACCAATATCTAAATTGTTGATGAAGTTTTTGAACAGAGTCGGTCCCATAAATATTATTGTGTCTCTTAATAAAGGTCCAAAACTCAAGTCACAGTGGGGGACATCTAAGTTGGATATTAGGAAAAACTATTTCACTAGGGTGGAGAAGCACTGGAATGGGTTACTTAGGGAGGAGAAGGACTCTCCATCCCTAGAGGTTTTTAAGTCTCACCTTGACAAAGCCCTGGCTGGGATGATTTAGTTTGGGTTCATCCTGCTTTGGACAGGGGGCTAGACTCAATGACCTTCTGAGGTCTCTTCCAGCTCTAGGATTCTATGATTCTATGATTTATATTCAGCTGAGACCACAGGGAGGGGAGGAACAGCCAGCAGCCAAGTAGCATTTCCCCCTCTCGGGTAACCCTACTCTGGGGCTATGTCTATAGTACAGGGTTTTTGCGTAAAAACAGCCATTTTTGCACAAAGACCCATGGAGCATCCACATCTCAAGCGTGTTTTTGCGCAAGAAAATCTACAGTCAATTGACAGATCAGAGGGTTTTTTGCGGTGTAGGTATACTTCCTTCTATAAGACATAACTCCTTTTTGCGCAAGAGTTCACACAAAAAGGTGTGTCTGGACACTTAACGGGATTCTTGCACAAACAGAGCCTATCACAAAAAGCACAGGTGCTCAGAACTTTCCCGCGCAAGAATGTACATGCAGTGTGGACGCTCTCTTGCACAAAAGCACATCACTTTTGTGATATGCTTTTGAGGTGTGAAAGATCTCTTCTGCAAAAAGCTTCTTGTGCAAAAACCCTGCAGTGTAGACAAAGGCTGGGGAAAAGAGGACAGGAAGGGAGGCGAGCCTATCACAAAAAGCACAGGTGCTCAGAACTTTCCCGCGCAAGAATGTACATGCAGTGTGGACGCTCTCTTGCACAAAAGCACATCACTTTTGTGATATGCTTTTGAGGTGTGAAAGATCTCTTCTGCAAAAAGCTTCTTGTGCAAAAACCCTGCAGTGTAGACAAAGGCTGGGGAAAAGAGGACAGGAAGGGAGGCATAAAAGACACCTTCAGTGAAGCTGGTCTAAAATATTTCTTGATAAATCCCCAGTTTGCTGTCCATAAAACATACAGTCTCCAGGTATTTGTTCTTCATTAGGGACAAAAAAATCTCTAAACTCTAGTCAGCATTTGACTCCTTTAAATTCTTCTAAGGCATTAGCATTACGAAATTAGGCAAACTTTTCTGTATTCCCAGTGAGCAGCACAACCTCTGAATCTATCTCGCCAGGATAAATCTCAAAGAGGTACACATTCCAGTTTTCATAGTATTTCCTTTGGCATCAGTGTCATCCTCTTTAATGTTCACATAAAATGTATCGTATTTTGTGAAAACTATAAAGCAGATAAGAGAAGACTGAAAGAATCAGGTTCATCTGAAGTTCATTATTTTATAGAGTTCAGAGTTGACCGCCCACTCCTGCTGTTAGAGAGTAAAAAATACGGTACAGGAGTCCTTTTGCTTTCAGTGTTAACTCTCTTAGGGTGTGTCTAGACTACATGGCTCCATCGATGGAGGCATGTAGATTAGACAGATCGGCAGAGGGAAATGAAGCTGCAATTTAAATAATCGCGGCTTCATTTAAATTTAAATGGCTGCCCCGTTCTGACCGCCCACTCCTGCTGTTAGAGAGTAAAAAATACGGTACAGGAGTCCTTTTGCTTTCAGTGTTAACTCTCTTAGGGTGTGTCTAGACTACATGGCTCCATCGATGGAGGCATGTAGATTAGACAGATCGGCAGAGGGAAATGAAGCTGCAATTTAAATAATCGCGGCTTCATTTAAATTTAAATGGCTGCCCCGTTCTGCCGATCAGCTGTTTGTCGGCAGATCGGGGCAGTCTGGACGCACCGTGGTCGACAAAGAAGCCTTTGTTGATCGGCGCAGGTAAACCTAGTTTCACGAGGCATACCTGCGCCGATAGACAAAGGCTTCTTTGTCGACCGCAGCACATCCAGACTGCCCCGATCTGCTGACAAACAGCTGATCGGCAGAGCGGGGCAGCCATTTAAATTTAAATGAAGCCGCGATTATTTAAATTGTGGCTTCATTTCCCTCTCCCTATCTGTCTAATGTACATGCCTCCGTTGACGGAGGCATGTAGTCTAGACACACCCTTACATTGAAGCTGCCCAACTACTTAAACCATTGCTGCCTTCATCATCTCATTGGTCACTTACATTTTTCTAACAACCAGCTTTAAATTGATACTTAATTATGAGGAAGGTAGCTGGTCAGATTCCAACTGCAGTTGCATTTGCACAAATTTAGAGCAACCATACTGAATTCAGTGAAGTGACTCTTATGCTAGTGCAAGTGAAAATTCCGACCCAATACATTTTTATTGAAAATGCCTGCCTGGGTAGTCATCATTTTCCACTTTGCTTACTCCCCTTCTGATCTACTGACTGGCATAGATATAGGAAAGTTTTCATTAAACACACAATGTACCTGCTTTTTCTGCTATTTTAATCAGACATGTCATGATGGGTAGCTCCCATTTTCCCTTGTATCCTGCAGAATTGTTTCAGGGTTCTCTTTTTTAACATGTTACTTTAATGGTCACAAATTGAAAAACAACAACTCTATTTTTCTTTTAATTTTATAAATCAGTTCTTATAAACAAATCATTCAAATTATATTGAAATGTCATCCAAATTGATTTTTCAGTGCCTATTTACAGCTCATCTCAAATGGTTAGAGGTTTCTTAGGCATGAGGACAAACCTTGCTCTACTTGCTTACACCAGTGTTATTCCAGAGTTACTAAATAATATCACAGCAGCTTTTTTCCCAATTTATGTAAGAGTAACTGAGAACAGAATATGACCCATAAAGTTCAGAGGATCATTAAGAATGAACCAAACAGTGTTAACTTCAAATCCAACATTAGACCAATCCAGTTTGACAAATGCAGAACAAAAATACTTGAATCCTCACCTACGGTTGCAGAGAAGTTAGAGTAGGCAGAGTCATTGGTATATACAAAGGTAGAATTATGGGAAGGAAGCACAGTGAAGTTGTGGATTCTTAGAGCTGGGTGAAATAACAAAAGAAAATAAGCAAAACAATGAATAAACACAAAATCAATATGAATTGTCCAGTCTATATCTCTCAACACAGCACTGATCAAATGTTATTCAGTGTCCCTGTAAATTATACTTTTTTAACCTCTTGGGCATCTTTTTTTTCCCTTAAGGGCTTATATACACATAGAAGTACTACTTTAATGACAGTATAGTTAAAGTAGCACAACTACACACAATGGCTGTGTCTAGACTGCATCCCTTTTCCATAAAAGGGATGCAAATTAGACACATCGCAATTGCAAATGAAGCGGGGATTTAAATCCCCCCCGCTTCATTTCCATAAACATGGCTGCCGCTTTTTTCCGGCTCAGAGCTTTGCCGGAAAAAAACGCCAGTCTAGACGGGAAAATAAAGCCTTTTCCGAAAGATCCCTTATTCCTTATTTTAAGAGGAATAAAGGATCTTTCGGAAAAGGCTTTATTTTTTGAAAGATCCGCGTCTAGACTGGAGTTTTTTTCCGGCAAAGATCCAAGCTGGAAAAAAGCGGCAGCCATTTTTATGCAAATGAAGCGGGGGGGATTTAAATCCCCGCTTCATTTGCAATTGCGATGTGTCTAATTTGCATCCCTTTTATGGAAAAGGGATGCAGTCTAGACACAGCTAGTGTGGACACAATTGTATGTTTTAGTTATTCCTTTATGGGAAGGGAAATAAGTTATAATTATATACACACTAAGGAATGTATTGGCATAAATATATCCATGTAAAAACAATCATCCCCTGAAACTAGCATAGTTATTCTGGTACAAAATCTGTGTGTACACCAGGCCTTAGAGAAACCGACATGAAGAAAGCATTGCTTCAAGCAACAGCATCAGCTTACAAAAAAAATATATATTTTGGTCTCCAGATATTTTTCCTATATCATTTCAAGAGCCATAAATAGTGAGTTATTAGAGAAAAATATGTTACTGTTGTTTTGATTTGCTTATTTTGTACATTTAACAGTATTTTGTATGCATTCATTTTCATTGTTCGTCCTAAGGCCCAAAAATCAATGAAGTATTTCCTATAACAAAAGAGGAAAAAATGTATCTTAAAACAAAAAAAAACTGATGTAAAACTGCAAGAAAAAATTAACAAAGGGACAAAGGTATTGAAGCAGCAGCTGAAAATACCTTTAAACTCTTTAATTTTTTTTAATTTACTAGATTCCATGTCAATGATGTCCCTTTAATTTACAGTCATTTCTGCCATTAGGGTGTTACCGCTATAAACCATGATAACAACCAGTTAATATTTAAAGTGCTCAAAAAGAACCTAATTTGGTGATACTGACTTTCAGAAGAGTGAACTGTTGAGAGGTATGAAACTGGATCACAGCCACACAATGACATCAACAAATAAAATGGATTAACATGAAGGACAAGATTTTATAAGAAGAAACATGGAATGAAAACAATTGCATGATATTACAAGTGGAAAAAATAATGTGAGGGACTCCAGCAATGAATTAAAGAGTTATGTAATCAGAAAGTGGTATCAAAAAGCAGGAAAATGGTCACCTGCAGGAGAACACAGCAATAAAGAAAACCTTTCCTTTATCTCAGAGTCAGCCTTCAGATGCAGGCGTGCAACTCCCACTGAAGCCAATGGGAATTAGATGCATGCATTGGAGGATAAAATATAAATAGCCGCAAACTAAGAAAATGGATTATCTCCTATAACATTAATAATAACTTTCAACATGAACAAAAAAAATCACACAGAAAGAACAAACATTTTTCAGATGTTTTTGTCATCCTTCCAGAAAACCTCCTGCAATCGAATCCTAGAAACTTTCATTCCTATGTGTAATCCTTATTCATCTATGTTAAACCATAGATTGCAACAGAGGTGCTCACATGAGCAAGTAAACTTCTAGGATAACGCCCTATATATTAAACTATTTGAATATATTCTTGAAATGGCTTCTGAATTTCCACAGTTATTGTTCCTTTTGAAAAAGAGCCCTTACTATCCTTAATTGTGTATTTCTTGCTCCTATTAATTGTGATGATGATGATGATTTAAGAGATGCATTTCAGGTTAGTTTTTAAAAACCAAAGTCCCTTTCTGAATCTAATCCAGGGCCTACAGGAATTAGGCATTCAACTCCCACTGTAAATCAATGAGAGAGATACCTAACTCCTTAGGGTCTAGTGAAAATCCCACCCACTGTGTGTATTTTTGCATAGGTAAATATATACCAAACAAATGACAATAATATGAACTTAATGACACTCTGGAATACAAAATAATTTCTCTTCCATAATCCTAACAATGTGCAGACTTTTCATAAAATGTTTGAGAATACTTTGAAAAAACCCCACAGTTTTGAAATGCAAAATCATCTGGACTGTCAAAATATTTCACAAATAAGTAGCTCTCAACTACCATGGCTTTAGCTCTAACCCATTTAGCTTTGATATCTCTAGCTTTCTTGCTACATACTGACTTTCACAAATACTTATGTTACTATCATTGTCATGAGTCCTGCTTCTACCTCCATTTGTATCCCGAAATTCATGGATTCCATCCATATCTTCCAGGGGCCAGTAGTGGGATGCTGTCTGTAAAACTTCAAACCCTTGCAAGGAAAAACAAATTGTAAAAGGTCATAATACATCTCCACAGATGCTTCATTGTAGAAACCAGAAAAAGAGGGGGATCAAAAGGTTAGGCAAAATAAAACATTTTATGTAAACTAAACACTGCACACCAGGAGTGAGCCATTGAAATAAAGAGAAATAAACACCAATGGGGATTAAAGCCATATGTTATGCAACAGAGGACAGTTTTAAAAAGGTATCTACTTATTCTACCCACACTGCATTAGAAACAGCTATGGGCTAGTGCAGGGGTTCACAATAATTTTGGGGGGAGGCACTCCATTGGAAAATGGCCAAGGGCTGCACTTTTTTGTGCATGGGGTGCAGGTTCTAGGATGAAGGCTGGGTGCAGAAGAATGCTCAGGGAAAGGGACTGGGGTGCAGGAGATGGTGTGAGGTCTGAGAGGGAGTTTGGGTTAAGGAGGGGATTGTGACCAGGGTCAGGGGATTTTGGTGTTGGGTCAGGAAGGAAGTGGGGGTGCAGAAGAGGAGAGGGTGGGAGGGAGTTGTGACCTGGGGCAGGGGGTGCAAAGGGTGTGGAAGGTGACTTGGGGAAGGGAACTGGAGTGCAAGAGGGGCAGTGGTGCCAGAGGCAGACTTTGGCTGGGACGGGCTAACCTAAGCATCTCCTGGCTATAACATCCCCAAGGCAGGCTGGGTTCCATCCACGTGGCTATCAACTGGAAGAAGGGAGAGGCTTGCTCTCCACTCCTCCTCCCCCCACCAGGCCAGTCTCTCATATCATATTGACTGGCTGTTTCTGGACAACAGCACATGAGATATTGACTGTGGTCAGTTCTGATTGGTTGGTGGTTTTCAACCAATAGGAGCTGAGGATTGGGCTGGGGGTGGGAGATCACACAGAGCTTCCTCCTCCTTCCAAAGCAGAGAATCACAGGGATCAGTCCAGCATTTAAAACAGTGGCTGCTGCATACCTGAGAGTCCTGGGAGGGGCCTAGTCCTGGGCTAGTGAGAAACCTGTAGACATTGTATACCTTGATTTTAGTAAGGTTTTTGACACAGTCTAGCATGACATTCTCATAAGGAGACCAGGGACACACAGAGCTTCCTCCTCCTTCCAAAGCAGAGAATCACAGGGATCAGTCCAGCATTTAAAACAGTGGCTGCTGCATACCTGAGAGTCCTGGGAGGGGCCTAGTCCTGGGCTAGTGAGAAACCTGTAGACATTGTATACCTTGATTTTAGTAAGGTTTTTGACACAGTCTAGCATGACATTCTCATAAGGAGACCAGGGAGCAATGCTCTAAATGAAATTACTGTAAGGGGGATACAAACTGGTTGAAAGGCCATATTGATAGTTCAAATTGGGGGGATATATCTACTGCAATGGTTCTCAAACTTTTTCTCCTGTGGCCCACCCAGCTCAATGCAGACCTTCCTGCAGACCACCTACCAACCACCCTTGATAACAAAATGGATGCAGGATGAGGTGGGAACCTGAAGTCTGGGAGAGAGGTGAGTTGCAAGAGCATGGTAGGAGTGCAGGGTCTCAGCAGGAGGGGGTACATGAAAGTGATGGAGGTGTGGGGTCTGGGCACGAAGGATGGTGAGGGTGCTTATTTGGTTCATGCTTCCAGGCTCCCATTGGCTGTGATTCTGGCCAATGGGAGCAGTAGGCAAAGACTTCATGCAAGTGGTTTCCTACGCTGATGTTCCCCCTGCTAGGGAGAATGGGAGTGGCAGTGTTCAGCTCTGCTTACTTCTCCCACAAGTCTGATACATCCCCCCACAAATGTGGAACGGACGATCCAAGGGGGACCATGGGGCTGGAGCACTAGTGCAGGCTCCCTGCTGTGGGGGGAGCTCCAAGCCCATGGCCCAGCTGCAAGATGGTGACTTTGGCTTCCATAGAGCTCTGTGCTGGATCCAGTACCAAATACTGGATCCAGTACCATTAAATACTTTCATTAATTTTTCAGATAATGGAGTAGAGAATATATAAAATAGGCGGATGACACCAAGCTGGGAGGATCCGATAGCATTTGCAGGATAGGATTAGAATTTAGAACAACCTTGACAAATTGGAGGATTGGAAGATTGAGCTGAAATCAAAAAGATGAAATTCAATAAAGACAAGTGTAAATTACTTCACCTAGGGTGTGTCTAGACCAGTGGTTCCCATTATGATTTAGCATATAATGGAAAGGATATGCTCTACAGTAACAGGTAACTACTATCACGTAGATCCATCATCAAGACTTACACAAAATAGCAGTTCTGCAGTCCTAAGAGGCACTGGGTGTTCATTCCAAATACATAATTTAGGGCAGTGGACCCCAACCATTTGAAGTTGCCGGGCGCCAGGGGGCATGGACATTTGCCCGCCGGGTGCCAGAGGGCGGGGACACTTGCGCGCCCGGGGGCAGGCCCCCCCCATAGCTGCATGCCCGGGGCCAATGCCCCCTCCAAGGGTCGCATGCCCGGGACCGGCGCCCCCCCCAAGCACTACGTGCCCGGGGCTGGCGCCCCTCCAAATGCTGCTTGCCCGGGGCTGGCGCCCCCTCCAAGCGCCGCGTGCACGGGGCTGGTGCTCCCCCCATGCGCCGTGCACCCAGAGTGCGGGTGGCCAATCTGCGACACTCCCAGAGCCAGCACTCACAGTGCGCCATGCGCCCGGGGCCGGCTCTGGCACCATGCATGAGTCACGTGCCCGGGGCCAGGCCAGCCCTGAGCACTTGGCGGGTGCACACAAATGCCCCCATGGGTGCCATGGCGCCCGCGGGCACTGTGTTGGGGACCACGGGACTACACTACAGGGTTTTTTCGAAAAAAGTGGCCTTTTTTTTTAAAAAAATTCCACTGCATCTAGACTGCTGCTGCGTTATTTCAAAAATAAATTGAAAGAACACAGAAGTTTTTTCAACCACGAAAAACCTCGTTTTACAAGGAATAATGCCTTTTTTCGAAAGTACTCTTTCAAAAAAAAGGCACTATGTAATGCAAACTGTGCTTTTTCAAAAGAGAGCATCCAGGCTGCCTGGGGGCTCTCTTTCGAAAAAGCGGTTTGCTTTTTCAAAAGAGGCTTTTTCAAAAGTATCTTTCGAAAAAGTTTCTTTCAAAAGAGGCTTGCAATCTAGACATAGCCCTAGGGAGGGAGAATCAGATGCCCATCCACAAAAATGGGGAATAACTGACTAAGCAGTAACCAGTTACTGAAAAGGACCTGGTTACTGAATCACAAATTGAACGCGAGCCAGCAATATGATGCAGTTGCAAAAAAGGCTAAAATCATCTGGGTTGTATTAAAAGGCTATTATACCTCAGACAAAAGATGATCCATACCAGTGAGGTCTCAGCTGGAATACAAGTATTATCTTCAGTGCGGGGCACCCCATTTTAGGAAAAAATTGTGAACAAATAGAGAGAATCCAGAGGAGAGCAACAAAAATAACACATTTAGAAAACCTGACCTGATAAGAAAAAGAAGACTCCACACAGAAACTGACTGTTTACTCTTGACAACAAAACTGATGGGGACCTAATAAGGCTTCAAATACATTAAGGACTGTTAGAAACAGGACAGTGATCAATTATTCTCTATGTCCACTGATGGTAGGATGCAAAGTAATGGGCTAAATCAGCAGTAAGGGAGATTTAGGTTAGCTATTAGGGAGAAACTTTCTAAATATAATTATAGTTAAGTTCCTGATTTGGCTTTTAAGGGAAGTGATGGACACCCCATCATTGGAAGTTTTAAGAACAGATTAGATAGACACCTACCTGGCAGGGTCTAGCTTGAGGAAGTCAGCAGGACTGTCTGTACTGAAGTTACATTCTGACTCATACCAATTGGACAAACTGGTCCTAATATTTTAATGCAGTGTTTCTCAAACTGTGCTCTGCGGCACCCCAGGCTCTGCGATACATCTCCAGGGGCTCTGCGAGGTTGACAAACTGGAAAGCCTTTAAAAGTACAATTGAGAATCGCCTCGAACTGATGCAATTAACATACACCACTGGGGCTCCACATAAATTTTTACTCATGTAAAGGGCTCCAGATCCCAAAAAGTTTGAGAACCACTGTTTTCATATAACAAATACATTTCTATATTTCATGCATCCTCCACACATTACTCTAAAGCTTAAGTCACAGTGTTTACATAATTTTAATGACAATATTCAGAGATTATCCAAATGCCAGATATGTGCATAATGGCAGTTTCCTTTTTACAACATCTTTCCTCCTTCCCTTATATCTGTAAGGACCTATTTATATGTGTTTCAGCTCTGCAGAATTCAAGAGATAGGTAGAAGAGGTAAGTTGAGTGCCTTAAGACTCTTCCTCTTTCCCCAAAGAAAGCAGCATAAATTAACATGCCTTTACGCTATACTGAACGGTTCTGTTTTCCTCTCTTTCCAATGAGAGACTTTGTCTACTGATGGGTATTGAGCAACCATAAACTGAATCGTGGATTCTCATGAGGCCTTACTGTCAAGTTTTTGGAGCAAGCCATGGAATTGAGAAACACAGATAAGGGTAATGTTAGGGGAAATTTGGGAGGGTGCACAGGTTAAAGAGTACAAACCACACTCTTCACAGGAAGGAGTTTTCTGAACTGGATTCCAAAATATTTAGTGGCATTGGAAAAGAGATAACTGCTCAGTATGCAGCAGCTGCTATTTCTTCAGAACCTCCTTTTCCCCACAAAAAGTGAAAAAATAAATCTTATGGCTAATAGGAACATTTTGTTCCCTAAACATCTTCTTCAGTTGCAGATGGTTACACTGCGCTCCAGGTGAACAAGTTGACAAAAGCAGATCATCTGATGGTTCCCATTTCCCAATGGCAGATTTATCTCAAGAATCTAATTGATGTCAACTAGAGAATGCTTTAAGGAGATGTGAATTCTCAAGCTGGAGCAGAAACAGACTGCCCAAAACAATTAAATGGTGTGTTAAGGTAATGCTCTATATCAAGGGTCTAGGATTAATAAAAAGGCAAATACATAACATTTT